AAGCCCATCCCAGGGAAAATGAAGAAAATTGGGGTTTTTTTTTTTTTTTTGGACCCAGGTGTGGTGTGGACCCGAAAATGCGAACGCCCGCTTAGGTAACCCCCAGCCGTTTAAGGTCAAGCCGGGGGGAAATTTTTAAAAAAAGAGATTTTTAGCAATTGGGCTCAAAACAAGGGGAGAGAGCAATTCGGGCCCAGATTTTTACGGGGGAAATTTTTTTAAGGGGGTGGGGGGCAGGAACGACAACAAAAGGGGGGGGGCAACTTCCCGTTGGGCTATAATCTAAAAAAGGGGCAGCTGGGAGGTGTTTTTTAAAGGGGCCCCACACTGTTGGGTACCCCCCCTGCACAAATAAGGTCATGCCCCCCCCCCCCCCCCAGCATTTTGCTGCTGGGGGGGTCCGGACCCCCCCCCCCCAGCAGGAGCGCTCTGCCTGTGGGGGGTGCTGGCATCTCTGTACAGACAGCAGCTGTGAGTAGCATGCGTTCCAGTGGCGAGAATTTATGGTCGACACCAAAACCAGTGGTCTCACCGGCGGGCCCTCCTACTGCCAACCGGGAGGTGCGGGGCACGCCAGTCTCTCTTCTACGCCTCTCGTGCCTCGCGGCGCCTCTGCTTCAAGGGGGGAAGATACGGCTCTCGCAGCCCATCATACGCCGTGGCACAGCGGGGAGCACAGCGGGCTGTACAAGATATTGTTCCCTATCTTCGCATGCTCGTCGTTGGTGATATCCGCGCGAGGTTATACGCCACAGGCCAGCAATCACTCGATGCTGAGACTACACTGATGTATAGGCGCGTGTGGTATTACCTTTACAAGATAGACTCACATGGTCATAAGTGTTTAGTAAAACGCCAGCACTCGACACGACGAAGGTGTATTGGGCTCGAAGGCGCGGTGAACACAACCGCCTCGAGCGTACCGCTCAAACACGAGCCGAGGGTGGAGGGGGGGGGGCGGCGGCGAAGAGGCGGGAGAGCTGGGTCCAGTGCGCTCTGCTGCTGGGGGGGTCGGGACCCCCCCCCCCCAAAAGGAGAGGGAACCAGACTTTCCGCTTTTTGGGGGGGGCCCCCCCCTTCTCCCTTGGGTTGTGGTTTGAAGGGACCCCCACGGCGGGGTTTTTTCTCCCCCTTTGACACAATAAAAATTTCTTTCTGGTGGGGGGGGGGGGTTTTTTTTTTAA